AAAAAAAAAACAATGCGCAAAGAAAAAGTAGAGGGACAAGTAAAGGGAAAAACCCTGCAAACACCTACCATCCTCACGATATCGCCCAAGTATCGGACATTGATACCACGAGCATGCATCAAATCACAAAGGCTTTCTCCATCTATTGGTGTTATTGATGCATCTACACAGCTCGATACGAACTCCGGAAGCTGACATGTGACCAAGAACTCAGCTGCCTGACAAAACACAAAATCAAATGGCCGATCAAGCATCTTAAGATATACAAAGTCATGCTCACTTCCATGACAAGCCTTCTCTGCTTCTCTAGATCCTCTCCAGGAGCATGTTTCACAGTGTTGGAGAAACAGTCAGGATTGAACCGAACGTCAAATGTGTCTGGGCGCAATGAGTGCACAGCTTCAGCAGCCTAAAAGTTGTCTCTTAGTCAAAACCTTAACTCCAAATGAAAAATCGGAAATCACCTTAGACAATGCTTCTTTTGTGATATTGCAAGTGGTAAGGGGATCTCGCCCTTCACTAACTTCAACTAGTGCTCTTGTAACTTCGTTCTCAATATCCACTGCAAGAAAATAAGACTATACAGTATTTTCAAAGCGAAAATGATAGTGACCTGATTCTTGGCTTTCCTTGCTAGCGTTCAGCTGTTGCCGAACATGTGCGGCTGCCATTTTGATGAATTGCATACAACGAGCCCTAAAAGCGTACAAATCCGGAAAGTGCCGCCATACCCAATTTTTTTGGCATAACGTACTCATGGAAGATATCAACAAGTTCTTGACGAAGCGTCGCAAGCTTATGCGGGAATGGACGAGGAAAGCCCATCTGCTTAGACTTCTCTGTGACCTGGGACGAATACGAAGTGAAAATGATATTATTGTATGAAGTGAATGAGTAAATGGAAAAGTAAAGCAATCCTTTATGTTATGGAAACTCGAAATTTGAAATCAGTTCCACGTCTAGGCCAGGATTAGGGAAAAACTCAGGTTTACATCTCAGTATACGACGGTAAGAAACCAAAAAAATACCTCAGCGTCTTGCAAGTAATGTACATCCGGTGGCATAGTCCGTAACAGATCGAGTACATAATGTCGACCATCATTTCCAATGATACCCTAAAAAATTTCGATTTGGATATGAAATGAAATTCAGTCAAGGTACCTTTGTTTCGTAGCTGGTGAATAATTTAGCGGTGTTTCCTTTCTCGTCAATCACAACCTCATG